TAATTTTGATCAGTATGTCTGTGCTGTTTTAATATGTTCAATTTGTTTATTCTCGGTCACTCGAATTATTTGGGTGGGGTGGGTTTGTTTGTGGAAGTGTGTGTAGATGGACAGATGAATGAATGGATAGATTGGTGGAGTGATGGATGGATGGGGCCAAGAATGCTCTTCAAATTGCCAGTTTCAACGTTCGTACGAGATTAATTTCAGGAAAGATGGTGTATTCTGCGGATTCCGTTCCTACAGTTGGAACAGTTTGCACAAATCCATTTTCGAAAACGAATTCGCTTGGTACACTTCAGGAAAGCAATGAAAAACTGCTCATTGCGTTCCTCAACACATTTTTCATTTGAAGCCTTTAGTTGCGATAGACCGTGGTTACCGATAAGTCCGATAAGGGATGCAGTGGTTGAAGAAGACCGTATGGAGAATCATTGGCAAATTTATTACAAGAATTGATGTAATCAGGGATCAGCTTTGTGATTGATGTATCAACTGATACCGATGGTACATGGTAGATTATCATAGGACCACGAATATGATTTGGTTTAAGAGGCTGAGAAACACTACAGAGGAATCGACTGCTCAGGTATCCCACCGAACAGGCATAATGCTGTGGTATTTTATTATAACCGTGCAACTCTCTTGTCTGTTGGCGGTGGACTGCGAGCTGTGGTTGTCTTAACAGTGCTATTATAGGCAGGATGAACACAAACAAACCCACCCCACCCAAATAATTCGAGTGACCGAGAATAAACAAATTGAACATATTAAAACAGCACAGACATACTGATCAAAATTATTACTTGGATACCGTTCATTTGATTTATTGGGTCACAAAAAAACAATAATTACCAGCGTCAGTCCACATTCACCAAATCCCTCCTCTCCGGGCATATTTGTGTGTGTGTGTGTGTGTGTGTGTGCAAGTGCGCTCGTCGAGTCGCCAGGGCACCCAAGGCGTTGTTCTGACCAATACGTGTGTGCTGGACACTTGGTTAGATAAGTGAATAGAGAGCACGGGTTGCCGAAATCTCCACTGTTACGTAACAACAGTTTTACGCTGTTTATTGCAAAGTGAATGTAATTCACTTGGAAGAAAACGGGTTTCAGCTATGCCAGTGTGTTGTTGTACAAATGAAAGGCGCACTCATTTTTTGGACAAAGTTGTGGATTGCCGCTTGAACACATTTGGACAAGAGCGAGCAAGTTAACGGGCATTTCATATAATTTGGGTATAATATCGTCGTGTATTGGTTTTGTGATGACCAGGAATCTCAAAATTACCCCTGAACTTTTTTACACTGATAAACTTCACTCTTAAATTTGGCAAGCAACATATTGTTAGCAGTCGTGTAATTATTTCTTAGTCCACGCGATCGTCAATGTTACTCTTAAGGGAGGAGTGGGAAAATAAGTGGCATGCACGAATTGTTTTCCGGAGCACATGTCTGGGTGGGATTGTGCAGAGAGAGCATTGGCCACCGTTCCCGCTTTAGGAAGCAGTGGACAACGAGTTTGCCGTGCTTGTCGACCGTGCATCCGATACAGAAGGTGAAATGCCTCGGTCACGATCACGGTGGTGAGCACATAACCGTTCCGATGACCAACTTTATATGGGTTTTGCTTACTCAGATGAACTCCTGGCCAAGGCACGTTTGTAGTTTGTTCCACAGAATTACCTAAATGGGTATAAACAGCCAGATTAGACAGAGCGATTCATTTCGTCCTGCAGTCCTAGATACACATTTGGCCTTGATGTGAACAGATTATTGAGCTTTCCTACTTAGAATCTCCTGCTAATAGTTTGGAATAGTCGGTCTCATTTGTACAGTCTTCGATGATGTCCCCCATCTAGTGCGAATATAATCTCGTTCGCCACTCTGTGCGCTATCTGTTATGTGTGCTTTATGGGCCTGTTACGATAGTTTAACTTTTGAGTTCTTTAGACGTGCACTATTGGGTATATCATTGCAATCCAATCTCAGTGCCACTCCACGCTTAAGCTGCCGAGGGATTTGTGTGCAATATCAGCAGATATTACGATTTCATGTTTTTGTATGCCAGGCATCCTTTCAGTGTTGGATTGCAAATTTCAATGTTTCACTGTATGTTCTGTGTTCGATGCATGTTGTTCTGCATAATGCTCTATAGGGATTGATCCGTGTGATAGACTACTGGTGCTCTACTGGCAAACTGAACCCAGTAGGTCATGCTTCTTTCAACCTTGCTTTGTGAATCATGTCAGATAATTCCAGTGTATTTGTCAAGTTGTATTGACTTGCCAAGCCAGATGTCCGTTTCGATCTATGCACCAAATGTAGTGGAGTGTAACAACTCGAGCATCATAATCACCTGTACTGCCATCAACCACGGAACGGTTCTCCGTGTCCAGAGGAGATAGACGTAAATTACGGTGGAACAGGAGGATCTATTGAGCACTATTTTCATTCATTGATTGAATTATGTTTTGGGAGGAAGCTGCGTTTTATTACAACAAATACAGTAATTAAATTAGAAGATTAAAGGGGGTGGAGCAACAACTACAGCGGTATTGATAATGTTATTCATAATATTAGTTTAATAAGCAACATCCGCTAGAATAAGAAACGGTGAGAATTCGGTTTTATGGCACGTCTGTGCGTATGCATCATCTTCGTCAAATGATCTGAGACCTGATCAAGCTTGTTTGGTGTTTATAAGCACGGATTATCCTGGTTCAATTTACGAAGTCAACACTATGGTCTATATCCTTCGGCTCAGTAACACCACTACAGGATCGTGGGTCGCATTATTTCTAAAATGGAAAGGATGGATTCGATACAATCTGTGATGTTATCAGATTTTTCACTTCCATTAAGAGCGAAATGGGGATTCATTCGTGCGCATTTGAGTTGACTACGGTTTTCATCTGACATATCACTCGATACAGCCTGAACGTTCACAAATGGCTTCTGCGCAGCTTCTTACGTCATCCGGTCCCATTTCTGGAGGCTGTCAGATGTACTTGGGGTAGTCAATGAAAGAGTTAGAGATGACGGATTAGTCCACGGCTCGTTGTTCACTGTGCGCCTGAAGGTTGCGTTTTGAAATTCCGATGAAGCAACTCTTGGTAGGTCAACAATGCTGTGTTACGCATTGGGATGCGATATCACTTCGGTCTCATTGAATCGGGCAGCATACTTCTGTTGTGCGGAATCATTCGGATAATTTGTGGATCGAATATCCGGGCATGAGCTACATGATGTCTTCAGTTCTTCTTCACTCGGGCAATATCTCACTGTTGCCTAGAAGCATTGGGATAATTTTCTGATAACTAATCGGACTTGATGGAGTTCGTTGACCGTGTGCAGACATGGTGAATGGAAATGTAAGGAGTACTATCTAAATGTTCTAAACTGGTCCAACGGCATTCCGTACACGTAGCCCTATGGTAACAGGGGAAGGCGTTTTTGACTCGATCATCAATTCAGTTAATAGGAACATTTCATTACATTTGTGTACACACGATGTAGTGAGCCTAACTAGCGTGTGCAAGTGCATTGTGATTATCTACCCGTATAAGTCCTAAACACTTGTCTCCACGGTGATCAATTTGTTGGAATTATTCGAGACATGTCTGTTACTGATATTAGCTTTTCTCAGTCTGTTCAGTTCATGCTTATGCGGTGCATGAAATGAAATTACTTTCAACCACCTGCATCTAAAACGCACGCCCTCAATTATTGAAATGGATGTAGGCGATTGGTGCGTTAGGGCTTTGTGAACGGTTTCAACCAATGAGCACATGCGAGTAAGCATGACATACACTCTCGCCCAAGTTTCCAATAATCACAGTATAATAATTTGTGTATTAGAAACTCCAACCGATGTGCTCTGCTTGACCAACTTGGGCGAGCATATATCTGCTCATGTTTCACACTTCGATCTTCGTACTCATTTCAACGTTGTTTGTTCAACGCGCCCGTAAGTATCCTTACTTGTTTTCAATTTGCGAATTAAGAAATACTGGCCACGGTACGTTACTTTATGGAGAATATTGTTATCGGTATAGTAATGTTCTCTGATAATTGAGTGATGAATAACTGATTGTATCAATTATATTGGGTCAGGTCAAATCTCTATGGGGTGTGTGCGTTTCAATCTAACCACCCGGGGTCGACACACTCTCTTCTTACCAATGAGCTGTCAATTTTGGTTGCATTCCCTTTCCTGATCATCGCACTCACACCGAGGGACAACAATTCTTAATGGTTCTTCTATAACCGATGGAAACATGTAAATCACTCCGGATTGATAACTTGTTGCATTAATCATGATGGTCATAGTATTTTTGATGAACGAAATAATCACGATTCTTGCGGCAGTAGTTTACTGTTATTCCGATGGATATGCTTCGTTTGGTACTTTTAAATGTTATAATCCAAGTGTGTACGAACTTGAGTTCAGTTTATTGCTTTCTGTGCATTTATACGTTTGTCTTCTTGATGATGGTGTTTTCATTGTATCTTCTCATTGAATTCCACCTAATGGCTTCCTCGAATTTTCACTGCACTTGCTCCAGACCCTGACACGAATCCACCGACTGAAGCAATCGACCACGTCCTCACTGGTCAGGCATCCATACCACGTCCGAGTGTGTTGAATTACGTGCAAGTCATTGATCGGGCGCGATTGGTCGATCACACATTCGGTGCGAATCCAGTCCCTTCCAACAACGTTTTATCTGGTGGGCACGATGAGGAGGGAACTCCGACTTCATATCAGTCACAACCGTTTTTCGTGGCCAATAGCGCACAATTCGATCATTCATGTGTCTCAAGAAAATCATTCGATTCTCATCAAAATGTTTGGCGCTGCAATATGGTCTCGGTTGACTGGGATTCGGTCAGGCATTGGTCTCGATTACATCCGGTATACTCGTCAAAGGTGAGCTCATCCAATGGCATCATTCGCATTGCAATCCTATCAAGTGTAATCTGTTTGGAGACTTTTCGAGTTGTACAGGGATACTGTGGGTGAACTGTGCGCCAGGATTCACCGGCGCTTTTACCATTGAGCAAATAAAGAACAAATTGCTTATCTTTTCCATTATCATCAGTATCAGTTCCTGCCTCGACCAGCATTGGTAACATTGAGGATACCTGCCTGGCCTCTGAAGATGACATGGTTGGGGGTGATGCTGCACTGCACAGCAGTTTCGCCATGATTCGATATCATCAGGCGTTGTTTTCTGAAATGTCCACTGTCATAAACTGCAAAGCAACGTAGAAATGAGTGGAACTGCACCCCATTGCTAGCAATTTGCTAACTACGTTAATGATTTGTCTCAGTGGGTTACATTACCACCGCTACTTTCCCGGTTGCATATCAGACGCACGATTTGGCAAGTGATTTAAATAAAGTAATAATAATGATACTAGGCACAGTAATGGTAGTAGTAGTAGTGGTAGCAATAATAGTTGTAGAAGTAGCAGCTCACCAGAAGTGAACCGAGCAGTCTTTGTGCCTCGCTCGTAATTCCATTGGAGGATATGCTCTCTTCACACTGTGCAATGAAGGTATGATTTCTGACGCGAGGTTGCACCGCTTGAGTTGTGGTAATTTTCCAATTGGGAATTTCCTAATGCGTACGCATCTCATTTCTGTCTCATTCAGTGTTGTGAATTCAACTTGCAACCACTCCAGTCTAATGTGGTTCAACCCTCAACTGAGCAAGGCGTTGACAAAAACATTGTCTCACTGCTGTATCGTATCCAGTTTCGTCGTCATGCTTGTCTGCTATACAGTCGCGTCGTATGCACGTCAGCCAGAGGGGCCGTATTGCATCAGATGCGCGTGAATGGAATTGGATCGGGAATGAAATGCCTGGATTCCCGTCGCTATTCTTCGTGAGTCCCGTTTGTTGAAGCTGAAGAAGGAGATATGTGTGTCAGGGCATTTTGATCGTGAATTAGCAAGATTTGTTTGCAGCTCCTCGCTTGCCTCTGACTTAGTTTCAGATATTTTATCCGTGTTATTTTCCAACACTGTTGTTTTATCTGTCATTTTCTCACACTGATGTTTGAGGTAGTTATCATATAACAGGGAATGGCGTTTGGATGAATCAATGGTATGTGACACATCTGGGTACTCCCTTCGTGTCGGGATTCATCGTGAATGCAGTCATCCAGGTTTAATCGCAGACACAGGTTTAATCAAACATGGGGAGCCTGATTTGGTTAGCGGCCAGCTTCGAGCTGCCTGCCCTGATGGGTTTACCTGGCCCCCATGCCCAATCCTGTTCGATTACGTGAACTTTGGTCTTCGTAATGCTTGCTTTCTATTCTCTTCGTCTGTGTTTCAGTCTCCCCGAAACCCGAATGTATGGAGCTGGTGAGATCACCGCGAAATANTAGTTGAATTTAGCCCATCTTGTGATCATAGTGGAATATAAATAATATTTTCGTTGTTTCATCTTTTGAAATGAAAGAACATATTGTAATACAGCAGGAGGTGTGTTCCCATGATGATATGACTGCATATCAGCATGGCACATACTGCGGATAATACGATCTTTTCGTGGGGTTTTTGTGTGTGACAAACCGAAACAGAGATGTTCTCGTTGACGCGGGATTTGGTCTCGTGTCATCGAAAGCAATTTCTTCTGGAAGTGTGATCAAATGTGACAAGCGCAACTTTTTGTTAATCCGGAATACCACTGGAGATGTCGACATAGGGCTTGTGTTGGAGTCTTTTCTTTTCCACTGTCGTTTCTATGGCACACAGTTGTTCGAGATTCAGTCATCCTAATTTGAAATTTGAAATACGTTTACCCCCGCGATTAGGTTATTATTGTCCCGTTCCATCCACGTAGATCATTCCGCACCGAAATTGAAGTTAGTTGATCATATCACAGTTGGTTTAGAGAGGTAGAATTTAATTTGCCGGAAATTTGTGCATTCCACTTTTGTGATGGTCGATTTTGTGAAACCGTTCTGTCATCTAAAGTTTACCACATCCCACCAAATTCATGCAACACATTCTTCTCCTCATAACGTCATGGAAATAACTATTTTTATGAAGCATGAGAGTTTATTGTCACAAAAGTCCGCATACGAGAACAGTTGAATTTGATAGAGTTTACCACATCACGTGGTCCTCGAAGGGGTAATCTGGATGTGAAAGATTTGAAGTGGGGTAATATCCGATAACTACTTTCGCGAATTCAGGCAACTTGAAAGATCGTTTAGCCTGACAGCTATGTTCCTTCATGCTCGTACTCATTCGAAAAATATTTCCGCGCTCATGTTAATAGTCTCACAAAACGGAAATGACAAAACCAATAAATAGAAACATGACGACAGAATTATTCCTTGTGATTATCTATATTGTTGTTTTCCCACCCTCCGTTTATGGTCGTAATAAATTAAATTCCCCGACTGTTACTCCTTCCGTAGAAATCAGTCATGGCTTTGTCCGCTAAAACATTATCCTCACACACACACACACTCTCACGAGGATCTGTCTCAATTTGATGTTCCCTGATTTCAGCTGTTTCACACGTGGACGTGATATTGCACAACTGGTACTGGGCAGTCTGTGCGGGCGGGGAGAGCAGGACAGTTGGGTAAGTCCTTGTGGACTTTCTGAGTCGTTTTGCGCCACAGTTGTTCTATCCACAAATGGGTGTATAAACCGCGCACACACGGGATACATGTGATAATTGGCCTGGTGCATTCGTCACATCTGCCCAAATGATCCCAGTGGTTCCCAGAACGGCAGAAACGGCATGAATTGTAGCAGCACTTGGGGACGCGAGATATTGCTTCAGCTGCAGCTCATGCCAACTGGCCACACACACACACACACATCCATTTTGGTTTAACAGTTTATCAATTGAGCCTGTCGTGTTTCATTGGAGGAATCAGTGGAATGATTGCATGTGAATCGATTGTACTCCGGTGAGTTAATGCGCACCAGTGGAGCGATGGAAACATGAGTGTACTGTTGACTATAATCAAGGACAGAACTGGTTATTTTAAACGCTTGCTTCAGCAGGAGGTGACGACACAGTTAGAACTGGCTTAAAAAAAATGAATAGAAAACCATCAAGTCCCGCTACTCTCCCAATAATTAGCGATTAAATACAGCTTCTCAGTTCCACAGATTTTCTCCTGTTAGCCGCGCACGCGCAAAAGTCGGCTCCGATTGATCGGCGGAGACCACAAGGATAGCTGATCTAATTGTGTCCAACAGTACCAATCATCTTAACTGCTTTGCCCGGGTGAGACAGGTTGATTGCTTATTATGTTTCAAGTGTTCATGGTGTTGTGTTTGGATCGGTCGTGCGAATCACACGAGCGACGTTTGCTTAACCCTAACCATAACGCGGAGAGAGAACACAACTTGAAACAACAGCCAGTGTGCATTCTTTTTGGGTTAGATATCGATAGGCAAATATATAGAACCAATTGCGCATACGAGATCGGCGCAGTGATGCACTAATCAATCAGCTTGCGTCCATGACATATTGATTGATCGATTGATCGACTGGACAAACATTTGCTGATCCGTTCTTCGATCATGCAATCGGGCCCAGCCTGTCTGAGGCTTTGCGAGCGTACTTGTGGCCTGACTCGAAGACGTGCGCGATCGGACAGGTTACCTAGACTCCGTCTTAACACATGACAGGCTGATTTGTTTGACTCCACGGAATTTATTCTTCTCACACACAAGCGTGTGTATATATAAACTTATAAGTGATGTTGATAGAAGCTCGATTCACGCGACCTGTGTTCACGAATTCGTCAGTTTTAATTTGACCACCATATTTGCTCGGTTTATATTAGATTTTCTTTCTCCATAAGAAACATGAATTCTGACCACTGATCGCCTGTCTCGTGGGCTCATTTTCTCGGCTACCAGGAATCCAGTTTGGCGCAATACAAAATAAAATGATGATTATTCTTCAACCAGTCAGTCAATCAGTCATCGGTACACGCAGTTTCCAGCTTACCTAGTCAATGTTATCGTCGCAAATTCCTGTGATCGAGGTTCACTCTTAAAAGAGCCTCATCAATAGTGCATATCCACAGATCCGTTTGGCGTTTGTTGGTGGTTGATATCAGCAGTCAGATGCATAAATAGCCAGCGGTTGTCTTGAATCACAAATCAGTCGTATCATTTCCGCAGAGCACACTAGCAATTTGCCTTTGAAATGAATCGGGATCAGCCGTTCCTGTGAGAACATGTCGGCCTTTTTTCTACCATCCTGAATGTGTGACCGTGCCTTGTCTCTAACGCTATCCTCGTATTCCCGGTTCCGGAAAAATGATTAGACTGTGATCAACCCCACATGTAGCCGCACGTTTCACCAGTTCTCAAATCCCATTTTGGTGGCGGCTGCCAATAAAGGTGTGCACTGTTTGCAGAAGTCCTTTAATTGGGAGCGTTGGGCTACGCTCCGAGGGATCGGCTTCGGTGATAGTTTTCGCGAGTCACAACACATATGGTTTCGGGTATTCTTCTTGTAATCCAGTCTGGCAGACCGGGTTCCACCCAAGCATGCTACATATCATGGCTTCTGTATATCGGTGTTGAATTGAAACTAATCAGTCGCATATGACCAACATGATGTTCGATTTTGTACTGACAGACTTCTGTGATTCGCGAAGCCAAGTTGTTTTATATTCACATTATGACTGATATATAGCAGCATATTTTACACGACTACTTACCGCAATGATCAACACATTCGTACCGAGTGTTTCACAACTTTCTTCTACCTCACCCTCTTGACATTTTTCGCAGATCGATGTGAAAGTGGATACACGTGTAGATCTTGGTGGTCCTCCGGTCAGTCTGCTGATTCAATGCGCGACAATCACCGGACTGGACACTGCGTTGTGCTCGCATCGTCAGCACGTGGTTACCGCATCCGAGGCGAATGCAGAAACAGAGCTGATTAGACAGAAACGAGTATGCTCTGTGCTTGGTCATTTTGATACTGAGAGTTCATAGGTAGTGTTTATACTGTGGGGAAATATCACTGGTGATCTACATTGCTTATAAACTTCAACAAATAGGAAATTGATTACGCAACATTCATGTTCAACAATTCGGGCTTGATTATGATTTCACATTGCTGTTTGTTTCTACCTGTGTACACTTATCCCAAAGAGTTCGTTTTCCTAAAGTCCCCCAAATGAAACCTGGCCTGAAAAATTCCATGAGCTTATTTTGCGCTCGGGGATGATGAATCAGAGATCTGGTTGAGAACATCGATTCCTCACTCGGGTGATTTGACCGATCCTTGATGAAGTGGGACAAAACTGAACAGTGATTCACATTTGATAACCCTGTTGTCAAAAGTGAAGTGAATTTGATAGTTTTATTTGGACTACAGTGATTGAGAGTATTTGTGCAAGTGAACAGGTGTTATGATTGGGCCAAATACCATCTGCCTGGCATACAGTTCCAGACAGTATAGCAACTTTACTGGCGAATCAAAATTGCATCACGCCAATGTGATGCGGTCAATTTATGATTGTTTTCAGTGAATACCAATGCACATTCCACATCATGTTTAGTTCACTGCGAATATACGCGCTTTCTCTCTCTCAGATAGCTCGGTCCCAATAGTATACTCAGGCTTACCCTAAATTAGACTTATTGACTTGAGTAACCAGGCGCAATCAGGAGATTATCAATGATCCCGATATGACGTAACATTCATATGGTGATAAAGATTTTCACTTGATTCTCTGATCAGAGAGCTAAGACCGGTTGGTGTGAGATTTTAAGCTATCACTGAATCGTTGCAGTCTGAAATGTCTGACATCATGTTTTCACAAGATGACATTTACAAAATAAAGAATGGGTTAACCGAGTCGCGCATCAGTTCCACAATGAGATCCCGACCGAGCGCGCAAAATGTGCTGATGCTACAGGTACCGGCCTCAAATCATATTCATTATTCTATTGATCTTTCACCTGGACTTTGTCCATCACCTGTGATAATCATTACGGAACATGATCAAATATCTGGTGTGACAGAATTCGGCTTGTAAATGCATGATTGTCATTGTAGGCAAACTGACGGAAGGCATGAGAGTCCGAGCTCCGAGGCTGATTGTGACTGAGAATGTCCAAGTGAAATGCGTCGGTGTGCAGTGGTATTAAGGAATGCTCTGACCGTGGAACGTTTTCCCCACAGTTGCTTCGCATTCGAAAGAGTGATTGTCGAATCAGTTTTAACGAACAGCGGGTCGGAGAATCAAATGGCTGGCATGTAAGTAAAAACAGTTGGACCTTCGAGACAATCACTCGATGACTGTGACAACTTCAGTGTCCCTCAGTCAGGATTCGTAAACATTTCCAGCATCATTTGGCCCATCCACCTGCTGAGTGTTGCTGTTATCTTCATCACCATCGTGATGGAGTTTGAATTCACAGTGTTAAATATGGAAGAGTACCAGCTGTGCCGTACTATAAGTCGAACCCAGTACCGCATTCGCTTCATTTACGTGACTGCATGTATGATGACAGGAGTTAGCGTATGGTATTCTGTTAACATAGTTGTACTCGAAAGAAAGTAGATAATAATGATCACCATCGGCATCTTTGGTCAGTTTTGTGAGAAAGAATAAACAATTTTTCCACAGACTGATAAAACTGTTTATGCGACCAAACACTTTGAAATGCAGATTCACATTTTGCCTATTTCTGTGAGTGACATCCATGGTAAGAACTAATTTTTAATTGAAAATTTCACCATGAAAACATAGCAAAGAAATCTCGGAGCCATCTGGTTACCCGTCGCTCACACGGAAATTGTCTTTCCATCCTTGTCATTCTCTCTCTTACACACACACGTTTGACAGTTAGTACAAGGAAACACATTTAGTTGCGGTGTTAATCCTGTTACGTCATCACTAAATGATTGCCGAATTCGCCAACCATTTTTGCCCATTTCCTCACTTCCCCTTAGCAATCGCAGAAGAATTCTGTCAGTTGCGCTTTCTATCTTGAAACGATCCCGCTGCAAATGAACACATTCACAACCGTGAGCATCATTTGCGACCTGAAATTTAACGAACCGGCCCCTAAATCCGTCAACACCAGCATGATGTGCCTGTCGATTTCAACCGTGACAGAACCTCCGTGCGCATTTCGCCTATACGTTCCAGTGTATGCCGTAGGCCAATACTATACGATTAAATCTGTCAACTACATTAGATTAGTCGGAGTGGAAAAGGTGACGTACGATTTACAGAAGAACAATGGTGCAAGTAAGCATTGGAAATGCTGATTTGCAAAACATTCCTTTTTAATTCCCGTTCACATGCGACACTGATAGATATTCCCCTAATCTATCCAGTGGTGAAGACGATTTGCGTAAACCGTGAGCATTCATTATGAATAAATCAACAAACGAATTAGTGTGGTAAAGTCTATCGTGTGCAGAGCAAATAGCTTCTTGGCTGTGTAGTTTCCCCGTTGCCAATTCCGTATACGACGAGATTCACCCCAAAATAGACTGGAATCATCAACCAATCTCATGTTATGGACAAACTTGAATAAAAGTCCGTTGCGTGAAATGCAATCAAGTCCCGTCACACTTGTTCTACGATTCTCGCGGGTTTGCTCTTTAGAAACCTAACTTGTAAATGATTTCGACATGAAATACACCGTATTTGATTACTCGCAATGAGTGTTTCCCGGAGTTGGACAAGGTGAGTAACACAAGGAGTACGGCAACATCATTTTAGCGAGTTTCCCTATTTTGAACATGTGATCAATTTTGCCCTCACTTTGTCTTCATGAGACGAACTTCTCAATATCACGTAATTTGTTGCGTGCTATTGGCTACCATTATACTTGTAACGTGCTATCTCTTTTAGGCATGTTAAAATAAAGCTGAAAGTGTGTCGCATCGAACAAGATGTCTTGGTTGATCACGTGACTTATTCTAAATCGACCACGAACACAATATACGGGTGATCAGTGGATTCGACGCGCTCTTTGACTAGCTGCGCTACAATCCCGTGTTATCAAATCTCATCGAAATTGAAGGTTTTTTTGTCGTTATTATGGCCCTCGTTCGTCGATACAGCAGATTGAAGTTACTTCTACTTAAACATTCTCGCGAATTTACAACACGATCTGATTCCACCACACCTAATTCGCTCGGATTTCGGAATTTACACAAAAAACACAATCGGGTCGAGTGGCAAGTTGCTCTTAAGCGCACCCCTCGGTCGAAAATGTTCGTTTCATTACTAGTGAGAAGGAACGTACGTTCCATCATCCACACATCACTTGGTGCGCATCCTATTCTCGATTGCTGGTGACCCGTCACGATCATTCCCATTTGAAAACCGTGTAGATCCAGCACCCTGTCCACATGTTTCCGTCACATTGCTCTATTGTCATGCGGTTTTAAATTGGCAGAATGTAGCATTCTCAAACGCCTTTCTGCTTCCTTCTGTAACCCTGATGGCCCTCTCCAGTTCGAGTATAAATCAAACAGGTCCACTTGGGATGCTATTGTCTCCCTCGTTTATCACGCTACCAAATCTATGGACGCATCACCGAAATCTGCTAGATGTTTTCTTAGATTTTACATCGATTTCTAACTCTGTTCCAAGTTCCCTCCTCCTTCACAAACTGCAAGTATTTGGCTGTCCCAAGCGCCTACTGGTGTGGCTCGTCAACTACTTCACAAACAGAACTCCGCAACTCGGCTCGATAAGAAAACGTCTAAACCACTCGTGAACAATTCTGGAGTGCCACAGGCTGCCGTATTGTCTCCGCCCTTGTTTTCCACCAACGTCAGTGACCTGTGAGCGAGGTCTCCAACCCAATTATTTAAATTTGCTGATGACGTAGCCTTGTGCCCAGCCATTTCTGTGTCTGACGACCGACTGAATTCTTCGAACAACTTGTCGCATATCCACGACTCATAATTTATCCAAGTGCCTTCAGTGCACTTTCTTCCTCTCTTTCGACCTATTTATCCCCGTGATCCCTCTGTCATAAACACAGATTCCCTAACTTCAGTAGAGTCCGTGGAGTATTTAGAAGTTACCATTGATAATAGCTTAGAGTGGACATCCCATGGTTACAACTCTGTACAATTCTTTCGCAGATTATCTTTTCTGCTTTGAAGACTTAGGTAGTTCAATGCCAAGCAAAACTCACTTCGATTTTGTCTATCAATGAGTTTTTTCTGTTCATCTTTACTGTTCCTCGGTGGTTTTGGCTGGTCTACTCAAGAAAGACTTGAAAACTCTTCGCCGAGGTTTGTCAATCATCAGTCGTGTGTCTTTTATACCAGTTGATGAGCTATCTAAAAAACTGTATGAGCTTCACTTGTCCGCATGTGAAACATTTGCACAGAAAATCCTGTCTGACTGCAATCATCCTCTACATGGAGATCTATCCAAATGCTGCTCTCATACATCTACGCGTTCCACATATCGCTTGTTACCCCCTCGCATTAACCTCTACAGAAATTCCCCAGTTCCTTATCTTGCCAGAATCCTTGAAAACCGTCAGTGTATTTCTTCAAAATTGCTCAGGAACCTTGGAGGTTAAATATTTTACTTGCATTTTTCCTATTATTGATGAGATGTGAAATTTTTGACTGAAATGCGAACATTCTGTTCTCGCAAAAGTCTATACAAATAGAAATACAGGAACATTGATAAGGTACGGACGTATGGGACAAACACCATTGATTTACCACATAAATGAATGCACTAAATCACGCTTGGCTTCAAGGCAATGAACATTTTCCTGTTGCAATAATATTTCTGATATTGAATTGAATCCGTTTCAGGCCGATCAAGGGACGGGAATTAAATTCACAATTTCCAAATGGATGTAAGTTGATAAATCATTTGTCTACAGGGATTAGATGACTTCAAAGCATCATCCCACTCACGTGCGTTAGTCTAAACTGCACCGAATCCAGAGATGATGATGGCCTCGTTTGCGTTGAGCACTCGGGTAGAGCATACCGGGTGTGTGCAGAGAGTCACGCTGTTCGAATATACCCCATCACGATTTTCCGCGCAAAGCGAGAGCCAAAAGGGGAGGACAGATGAAATAATAATCCAGCTTTCACAGCGACAACCACGATTTGGGTGGAATTTTTTAACATTCCTTTTCTACTGTTTTGATTGTACAGTGATCCCTAAGTTACGAGTCCTCCTTTCTCTTAGGTGATTCGTAACCCTNAAATCTTGTGCATCAGTTATCCAGGCATGCGAATAAGATTTTAGGGTGCAAGGGAGTAGGGGTGGATGTTGGCGTTTAAAGGATAGTTCGGATTTGACAAATGGTAAATCGGTGTGAGAATATGGTGCCACTACGCTGTTCGGTGAGCGCTGTGCCAATCAGTACTGACGTTTTACAAACCGAACGCTTTCGTTTCTATGGTGAGTAACACCGGTTTTCCGGCCCGATTAAAACACTTGAACAAAACCGGATCGGGCACAAGCCGTTTGACGTGAACCATGTATTGCATGTTGTCTTGATCACGCTACGTTTTATTCTACTTGCCTGCTTCATTTAATTTACTTCATTCAGATGTGATCAGTGATACCATTCACTTTGTCGTGAACGTGCGTCCTGCGGATTGCAGTCTGTTGTTGAAACACATATCGGTCCCACTGACAGTGGTCGTGTGGATGGATCAGACTCAGTTCCCGATCCCGCTTTATACGATGCCAGTCAACTGCACATATGAGGCCCAAACTATCCAACTGAATGTGGATGTAGTTACGTCCAGCAACATTGCATCCGCGGGGTACGTGTGTGAAACGAATTTCATTTTACTGCCCAAACGTACTATTGTGATTCGCAATAAAATAGGTTANTAGGAACGGATGAATCAGACAAGGCCCGTGAGGGCTTTAGAATGGTAGGAGGTATTTAACACACCATATCGTGACTTAATTTGCACGAATTCGGATATGGCTTGATTGGCATTTGGGTGCCGAGTGAACGAAATGCACGGACCACTGTCAAGGAGCCCGGTTTAAGCGTCACAGAGAAGAGGTGTGTTTCTGTTCTCACATACACACATGACGACACTGTTCCAGAAGTGGGGGCTACCAGGCGTGGGCGAATAGGGGAATGCCCCGTGGTTTGAGAGGACAGGGATCGGAAAGAGGCAGAGCTTTTTTGGGTATCTTGTGAGTGGGTTCCGGAATTCTCGGTCGATTAGAGGTTGAAAACATCGGTTTTACTGAAGCAGATGGATAAAGTGATTTCTAATGACATGCACGTCGAACCGATCCCTTCGTTTTTAGTGATGAATGTCCACTTTCTCACGAACATGTATATGTTTGCGTTTCCGTGGTTTGTGCTTAGTAGAACAAAGGCTTAAGCGAGCGTGCGATTTCATCCTCGTTGAAAGTTACCTGTAACAGCGTAACTGTATTTCGGAAGCATGAGCTGTCGGGTTTATTTTCAAACCGATTCCAGAACCCAAGGATGACCAGCTTATTGTGATATATGTGATGTAACGGAGGTGTTAGGCCACACTGGACAATAACCCACTTGGATAGCTTAACCCGATCGGCACCTCTGTTCAAACGGCAGGTTAGTGTCATCCTGTGTGGTCGATGCAACCACCGAATCATTTCTGTTGATAAGCTTGTTTATTACCGCCATTCGTACTGCCGATCTGGGTCACCTCGCCGGTAAAACTGGTGTCTATGAGGCTGCATTTTAGATGACACATTTGGTTATGAGCTTGCTAATAATGATCAATTAGCCCGAGGGACGCACGGGCTTTTCAAAAAAGACATTGCCACACGGGACAAAAACGTTCTTTGCGTCGGCGCACACGACTGCCGTCTCACGCAGGTATAACCAATGGAAGAATAACTAACAACCAATCGACTAAGATGACGCTGGGTTAAAATGGACAACTACCAGCTATCGGAAGGCCGTTGTCTTGCTTACCCGTTCTGATGCAAGAGTTTCCATCGCACAAAACACTACATTTCTTCCCCTCAAGGATCTTGAAAATCGTTTTACAATGCACACGTATCTGGTAACTTGCGGGAAATAAGCACCTATTTGGGGAATTGAAATCGACTACGTGGACAGCACCACTCAGATTATACAGGGTAATGCCTTACATGTGATCTTATCCAGATCCAGGGGTTTCATATGCGAGAAGAATGGATGACAGGAAACAGAAATTCGTCGTATTAGGTATGCAGATATCGTGTTATGTGGAATGCCCCACTGAAATTAGTCCAACACTTTTACCCATCTTTGTGAACTCTGATGCACTATAATTTTACATTCTCGAGTCGATCTCGCTTCTGTCGCCTAAGTGGTCACCGAGTTCAACATACGTGCAAGCCATCAGTGTACTGAATTGTTTCAAGCAATCTATTTCTCAAACAATCATTTGATTGTAAAATCGCGTTGATAAAGGTTACCCACGGTGACCGAAACGCCGGCCAATTTTCACCTGTACCGACATCGCTGTGTTTTCAAAATTACAACTTATTTAAAGTCTGTTTCTCCTTCCCGAATGTAGAGATATAATACAACTTTGGGCGAACATCAGCTCACCGAATTTGCCCTCGCAATCGGAATGCGAGAAAATCACGATGATTTTGCATCACAGTCCATGGGTGAGTTCGGTTGAGTTCGCCAACTTGAACTCGACCATATTCGGCTCGATGCAACAAGAAGACAGACTGAGTACCATTCGGGTACGTTCGTTTATTGTTCCACATTAATGTTATCACGTGTTCAGTCCTATTTCGTCGCTCTTAGTCACTGTCAACAAAACGCTGGATATGTGTGTCACACTGCGAGAGGCATTCGCCTAGTTAGGGAAAACCAGCTCAGTGTAGTGAATCAAACCAGCCAATCCTGTTCACCGAATCACCACTTTGTTACGGATTTTTCAACTAACCGATCGATATGGAATATTTTTGGCTTCACATAACAGTACAACGAGATCAAAAGGATATAGTTGTACAAAATGATTAGTGGACACTGTCGGTGAAAACAATTTTTGATTCATACAAGGAAGTTGAGCAAGTCTATTTCTCGAGGAACACCTCATCTCCGATTGCCACTTGATGTGATTCAGTTGATGATCTAAAGCCTGATTTATTCTCAGGCATTATGTTTCCGTCTGGAATTACCTTAGCTCTTTTATTGTTTGATGACGAAATACTGCGCATTTTGAATCGCATGGCTTGAGGGAACAATCCTCGTGTTGACCGATACAGATCTTGCTATTGGCAGTCATATTGTCAGTTTTCGGTTTGAGTATACTAACGCGATGGTCTGAAAGTCCACCGACTAAAAAAGAAAAGCCCGTTCTGCGTCAGTGTACTTTGTAACTAGGATGAGAACTCGTGTGTCGGAACAGTGAGCAGGTAAATACGGATATTCCGTGAGCAACACATGTGGAACCTAAAGGCAGGGTGCTCAGTTCTGGGTATACGCGAAAATGAATTGATGCAGCCGATTTGGAGAACCCAATCAATGGCTTCAGTTTTGAGTTGAGGTGGTACATCAGGCAAGCAACGAAGCAATCAAACTTGTCCATCCAATTTCGTAAATGGACGATGTATCAAGTTTCTTTTCTGATACAAGGAAACTCGGAGACTGTATGGGGATGAAAATGCACGAATCTTTAGCAGATTCCGGCATGTTTAAATAATTTGTGCACACAAACGATGGGGAGCTCCCATCCTCCGCCAGTTGTTGCTAATTCACCAAGTTTGTTGAAGTTAAAATGACCGGCACTATCTTCAAATACTCGACACACGATTGGTAATGCTGAGAAGTTGGCATCGGAAATAGTATTTTGACAACTGAAAGTAAACACTATGAAACGCAAAACTGAGAATTTGTGATTGTATTATACGGAGCAAATGTCCGGGACCGCACTGAACACATCTCTTTCTGCATTTGAAAAGACCTGAAGTTCGCTTTATCTATTTTCGTGGAAGGCTTTTATTCATGCTTGAGTTGTTGCTACCATGCTCTGCCTTTTTTGGACTGAAATCCGAATCCTTCGCTGCTCGTGGTTTTGTTCCCATTTTGAATGAACCCGCACATTCAGACTCGCGGTCTTCATGTGGGAGAAGAGTGGAACTGGAACGCTATCGTCCAATTCAAACCTCAATTTAATTTTCCGAACAACCGAAAGTTTCAGATGCAATCCCTCACTCTGGAAGTGCTCTGTTACACGTTCATCAATACACCGAAGACCAACGGAACAGCATTTATGGCTACCAAACCGGTGCTGTTACAGTCGTCTCCAGGTGAGATTAATCATGGTAAACGTTTTTTCATGAATGTGAACATGATGCGAATTCCATCTCCTCGGTTGAATGGGATGACCGATCGATCATTCGGGCTTGCATTGTTTGACCATCGTTGACAGATCGCAATTGGACTTGTGAACTCAGTTCACCGAATCGCTTCATTGATATGACCTGATTGCCATCGCAGATAAGTGAAACATCTTGTGGGTCACATTCAGTTGGGGGTAGTGCTGTTTCAGAAATGTAAACTACACAGTGCGCGTTATCACTTCACATTTCATCATGGTGACTAACTTCCCGGTTCATATAGAATCCTCAATGCCACCTCACATTTTGCTCCATGTAAACTTGTTCATTCGATGTTCGTGTTTGTGGCCTGCAACATCCTTTCAATTGACGTACTGCAATAGATTGCATTTTCCAATAAGTGTAGTAATGCATACCTTGCGATATGAACAAACACAAACGCTTACCAATCGATAGTAATACCGAATAAGTGGCTCAACGACGATGCTTGTAATCAACTAAATACAAACCATGAATCTTGAGCGGTAAGTGCTTACCAGTGAGCAATTGCATGTCAAATACCGGTTTTGTTAAGTAGTGTATGTGGATGTCTATTGACCTAGTTGAAATTCTTTGTTCCACAGGAACAGGCAGTATAAACAGGAACAGAAATATAAATAGATAAGCAACTTTCAGCTACAGAGAAAACGGTCAAGCAAAGACTTGTGATAAAGGCCGCAGAGTTTCGAGTGGAAAACAGCACCTCGTGAGAGATAATTTATTAACTGTTCCAGATTGATAATTGTCGATATTTGCTCTCCCCCTCCTTGTATGACCTGCACGAAAATGTAAGCAGTTTTCTGTTCAACACCACAGGCTAATATGCGAATCTACTCCGTTCTCTAAACACTTTCGCCCGTTATCTTCCTAACAGTTCGCCTGCAAGTGTTTCGAAAAGCAAACTGTCATGTCCAGACCTATCGACAGACATATTTGAATTCGGATTTGCACTGGACCTCGTGTGCCGGGGACGCAATGAAACCGTTTCGACGACATGTGAACATCCTGTTCGGTCGGCTGATCACTGTGTACGTGGTATCGTTTAATCTCTCGTTCACTTCGAATCAGATCCGAATGAGTGAAATCTTCATTACAAACGACGGGATAGCATTTACCCTAGTAAAGAAAGAGGTAAGTAATCACAAAGTTTATAAACTGTCTCATTATGATGCCTCACAGTTTATTCATACTACCTTGGAACAACATTGCACGAAGGCAAACGAACGATCTGTTAGATTGCTGAATAAAATGTGACTATCGCACTTAGAACATTCACAGTGGTTAGGTAAGCCCACCCCTAATCTTCTAGTCAATAATTCAATCGTTTTGTTTTCCCCATCGTCAAAAAATACGCTGTCGTTGCCCACGCTCAATAATTATCTCTGTGTGTTAAAGGACTATATTTTCCCTTCAGGGCCTTAACTGTGTGTTGGAGATCAAGTGCTCTCCGACATCAGAGAACGTGACAACACTGCTGATGAAACCCAACCAGGTCGAGACAGCTGTCCAGTGCCTCCTAGCCTTCCCGTTCACGCTTCATCTGCTATATTCACAACGAATTCACCTTTGAAGCGTGAGAACAATAAGATAATCCAAATATCCATGCACAGGAAAAACAACCATGAAACGTCCCTTTGTATGTGCGTCGTTGATTCGCCCTACCTTTGAGCAATCTATTCGGACCGTATTTATGTGCGGATAACGACAGTGCATCCTAGATCGATCTGTCCCTAATCTTTAACCAGAATCACATCCTAGTGGTTTGGTGTTTGCAAATTATATTCCGTTTCTGTGTTTTAACCCTTTGTAGACACCCACATAATTTCTTTTCCTCAGTAACCAGCAGGGAAAGGCTGAACATTTAAACAACATATCCGGTGTGGAATAAACTGTGTCAGACACACTAACATTGAAATAGGGTAACTTACGCTGTGAAAATGTGCTATAAATCCAGAGTGGACTTCGTCAAAGCAGCATCATTTGTCTCATATTACTAAGCTTTAGGACTAACCGAGGGCGGGGGACAATTGGTAATTGCAGTATTCAATTATGATCTGCTTTCTGTTTTGGCGAGAGAGAAGGATCTTGACCGAAATAGTTGGGTGAGCTGCCGCAAGAACGAATCAATCACGATCCTTTCCAACGGCCTCTCCAAATGGTGTCATACGATCAACTTGAGAAAGCTGCGTCTCCTCAAGAAAGACCAACGTGTCTGGGCCGACTATGTATGTCCGCATCTTGAGGGTGGTATATTCTTCAGATGTATATTCAGTAAAATATTAAAACACAACAAAAATGAATGAATGTTTTCTTTTATTGAGCATAAAATTAAAAGTTCAGCTTGTAGAAAGTTGTTCTGAGATACAGCTGTTCAAGCACTGCCTGATGCAGTGAGAACGTTGCGTGGCGGTGCACTCGAATTCTCGACATCCGGTTAGACGTGACGGCAATCTTAAAAAATAGTTGAAAACCATCACGCCATACATAAACACCGATGTACGTCTTCTAAATGCATTCTATCACAGGATGTGTCCGACGCCACATCGTTTTCCTCTCAGTCTGTTGAGTATTAAGCTTCATTGCTTGGAATGAATTTGGCATCATCCCGTAAAGGACAATAGTATACACTTAAGTTGTTCCCCTATACAACGGTTTGTGATCCATCAGTTGGAAACTAATGGGACTTAAGTTGGAAAAAATCATGAACGGATTTAAAAAAACCCATTGATGGACCGTAAACCTGGTTTTGTGTTGAAGTTATCAAAACCCAATGCACAGTCTTTATTGTTGGACATTTGTATCAGTCTTTCTGTCATGAGACAACTAACTTTTCAATCGAACCGGATTTGTTAATTTCCTCTAGAATATGTCACACTTTGGCATCTAATGACCGCTTTCCTTAAAAAATATAGCTTTTCGGGAAGGTGTTTCGTGGGTGCCTTTCATCGGAAGTCTGTTTGATCACTGTAACAACACAAGAACCATTCAGAGCATCACAGACGAGAGCCCAACAACAATGCACTCAGTATTCAATTCCGACCCAAATCAACAGGTGAATTGAAATTCTTTGGAGAACTACTTTAAAGCTTCATCCTTCTGCGCCTGCTTACCAACCACTATCACAACTCTTTTTGTAAGGTACTACTCACACTTATGAGTAGTTTGCATATACAAAGAAGCGTCTCAGTAACTATTCTCTGTGCCTATGGGTATTCTGCAGATCTGTTCCAAATGAGACATTTTGTTTGATGAATGCCGCTTCATTGATATTCATCCGTTTTTTATTAAATAACTCTCCTCATCAGGACAGTTTTGTGGATTTATGACACCAACCCACCACCACCACTAGCACCATCTTTGAGTGAATGTAGCCCCCACTTTCTGTCATAGGATTACAATTGGGGTTCACTTTTTTCTCTTCGCGCAGTAACTTTCTCCCAACAGGTGTTCACGGTTCAGTGTCTTGTTGCGCAGCTTGAAGGTTGTGGTTCGTATCCCAAACGGATGAGTATCAACAAGAGCACAAAAGCTGTTCAGAAGTATTTTCCGCCAGTTATATGAATACGTTCCTGAAAACATACGTCGACACTCGTGGAATATTCGTTTTGACAGCTGAAAGGATCTCAATCGGAATAAATGTGTAAGCCTTAACAAAAAAAGAATCACGTAATCAAAATCAGCTTAAAAGGCCCAAACCCTCTTGTACGGCCTATCCAAGTTGTGTAACAAGCGCCAACTGACCAATTTGCGCCTCCTAAAGAAGTACCAGTGTTTCAGGGTCGACGAAATATGTCCGCTCCTTGAGAGTGTTATGTTCTTCCGATGAATATTCATTAAAATATTACAGCCGTTGAAGCTCTGCCTGAGACAGCCAAACGATTTGTGCGGCGGTAAACTCGAATTCCCGACATCCGGTTAGATTTGATGGCAATCTTCACCACTTGAAAATCACCACGTCATAGATAAACACACGTATACGTCTTCGAAATGAATCCTGTCATGAGATATGTGTTCCGCCATGCAAACAGTTCATCTTTTTCTCTTTCGTGTCATATCATGTTGTAGGTAATTCCCCGTGGCTCAGGCAGGCTAATTTCCTCAATAATCATGAGCACGACACCCAAGTTTTTCAGTGAGGTCCGTTCCAACTGGTGTTTTTTCCCACATTGGATTGGTAAAGGACATTCTTGTAGAAGATAACAAATTTCACTATGTCACCCAGGGTGTTGAAGATACTTTCGTTCAATCGCTTTCTCGTCACAATTTTTGTCCTTTTTACTTTCGATTTTCTTGATGTGGACCGGATTATTATTGCAATGGATATCACTCCCAACCCACCCCTCACCGAGGGTTCATAATAGACGCGAACAACTGAGCGAGCATAGCCCAATTTATCTACGCATGCATCCTCCCTCTGAGTGCAATGTTTGTCAGAAGAAGAGGGTGCCCGATCAGTGATAAGCGCAAAATTCAAAAGCTTTTCATGCTGAGGTTCAGGAAAAAATCCGATTTGTTAGTTAGAACAGAAGATACTCAGCATGACGAGACTGCACCTTGACTTGGTGTGATCGTTTGCGTGCCTCCATGACCTATGAGCTACAAAAGACGGATTTTTACGGCTCCAGATCGAATCATGCCTGAAACGTCAATGGGTAGAGACCAGACAAAGCTCAGTCTCACTCGTGGCTTCCTTCGTTTATCTACACCCGCTCCTGGAGAGGTCACACCAGCAAATAAACACGGTGAAGGGTAGTTTATT